TTGACATATAATATAAATGACAATTTTTTCCAATACATCAAAATGTTTACTTTTAGTTGAAGGCATAGTGTTTTAAAAAAAAATAGAGTAAAAAGGTGAAGGAAAGAAATTTAATTTAATAATTTGTGATTGCGCAAAGTTACGCTCTGGTTTCATAGAATGAAACAGATGTCCAAACGGACAAAACAAACGATGTGACATGAATCTGCTGAAATACAAGCATGTGTAATGTAGCATGCTTTTATTTTCATAGTTCTCATTTGCTGACTGATACTGTCAAGTTGCATAACCGTCTCAGCTGATCTGATGTAAGTGATTAGCAGGAGCGTACAGGTTATGTGAACCCGACGTTTCGTCTGCTAGCAGCTGGAGCGCTGTGTCTGGCCGAGGCCGAAGCTTTTGAACCGCACGTCCTCGGCCACTGCCACGGCGAGGGCCAGGGCCAGGACCTCGCAGCCCCTCACGGGCGGCAGTGTCATCGCGAGGCCTGGCCGGGGGTGGGCGGGGCGCAGAAGGGTTTGACAGGAGGCCTAGAGGCCTAGAGTGACGTACCTTCTCCAGCTCCTTTTCGATCTCGCCCGCCCGGATGACGAGGGGCCCGCGCACGGCGTACTCCATCACCTTGACGCAGGGGTTCATGTTCTCGATGGAGAGGCATTTCTGCCTCTTGCAGCTGCTGGTCGTCATGGTCCTCTTGCTCTGGCCTGTCTGGTGCGTGACGGCCCACGGCGGACTGATGGCCGCCGCCGTCGCCGGCCGCGCGCCTCGCGCGCTCGCGAGGGGGCCGGACCCTCCCGCGGGCGCCGCGGGCCCGGCCATTCCAAAACAGCGCCGCCATCCGCCCCGCAGCCGCCCCGCTTCCGTGCCGGGGCCGCCGGCGGAGAGTATTTCCCTGCTAATCGGGCCGCCGACGATAATCCGGGACGCCGACATGACGACGGCTTGGCCTCGGCGCGCAGGTGCAGGGGCTTAGGTGTGTCCTGCCGGCGCGGTCACCGCTCCACTTCCCCGCGTCCGCGTCGCGACGCCGACAAACAACAGCAGTGACGGCCCGCGACTCGGGACTAGGTGCAGCTGGACGCGTCGGCCGGGCGCAGCGGTGCTCCACACGGTTATCGCGATCGGGCTAAAGATATCAAAAGAGATCAGTGTCGCTTGTCGCCGCTGCGGCTGCCGCAGTCTCGGAGTCTCACTGGCCGTGATTAGACACGGCCCCAGTGATTATGCTGAGCGGCGAGTTTGGATGCCGCCGCGGCAAGGTCAAGCCAAGCTCAGCTCAGCTGATCCGCTCCGCTCCAAACCCAAGAAACCTCCGCTGCCCAAAAGTCACGCCGTGGACAAGTGTGACGCGCGGAGTCGAGTCGGCCTCGCCCGAACAGAAAACTCTCGCCTTCTTCTTCGGTCGCGTGAGGTTGGGAGCGCGGCGCTACTCGACTGTCGCGAGGGGCGGGAGGAGGGCGCAGGGGGAGGGGGAGCAAACACATACAAATTCACAAACACACACACACACACACACACACACACACACACACACACACGCAGCGTACGCACTGCGGCGGGGCCTATCTCGGGCCTGACTCGACACCGCCAGGGACTCTGTTACCAGGCGTCGTCAACGCCGCGCCGCGGTCACTTAGACAGGGGTACCGTACCGTGCGGACAAGGGGGCTGCTCAACTCTAACTGAAAGCCGCGGCCGAGCACAAACAACACAACAAACCAGAAGGAATCCCGAGGGGATGGGATGGGAGGCAGCGGGGTCGACGATGATAACGCCCTGGACTGGACTTTAATTTCTTCTCGTTCGTCTGCTCTTTTTCTCGTAATCGCGGTGCAACTTCGGGTTCGTCTGGCGGCGCGCGCGCGGAGAGGAGGAGGAGGACCAGCGGCAGCAGGGGGAGGGCCGATCAATAATCATGCGGCACCAGTGCGGGAGCAAAGCGCATCCGCCTGCCGCACTCGGCGCAAAAACGACGCGTGTGTCGGCGGCGGCGCGGACGTGGACACGGTGCGGTGCCTCTCGCTGCGGACTTACGCGGGGAGCACTAACAACTGCACTGTCGTGCAGGCGAAATTTCACTGCCGAAAATAACTGGGCGCGTCGTCGTGGCGAGCAGTGTGTGAAGAGCA